CAACGAGTGGAGGAGGTGGTGGTGGTCACTCTCAGATTCCACCTCTTCCACCTGCTGCTCACGCTCACCACCACGCCTCTTCATCGCATCACCACCATGGTGGAAGTAGTGCTGGTCATCACCACTCATCATCGATTCATGGTGGTGGTGGTGGTGGTGGTGGTGGTCATCACAGTGGCCTTCGACAGCGTTCCTGTCATGATGGAGGTGGTGGAGGTGGTGGCAACTTTGACGGCTACTGCTCCGGATCCAGCTCATACCGTCACCACTTTCGAAGTAACATTACCTCCACCAGTGCTGTTGCAACGGGAAAGGGCAGCTCCGGTGGAATACTGAACACGCTGATCAGAAGGACTCCTGGTGGGGGTGGGCGAATGAAGGCAGGTGGTCACCCGCTCTACGGAGGTGGTGGTGGTCGAAGTAGTGGCCTAGTTCACCAGAGCTCTTCATCACCACCGCCGCCTCCGCCGCCACCGCCTCCTTCTCAGGCGCAGATAGCCGCCGCCGCCGCCGGAAGTGGTCAAAACAACAACTGCCTCTGTGATGACAGCTGTGACGATGAGGGTGGCCTCCAAGAAGAGCAGATGCTCTCCACCTTGGTGAGGTCCTCGACGCCCGGTCCTGGACCGTCCTCTTCTTTAGGCGGCCAACAGTCTACTGGACAGCAGCAACAACAACAACAGCAGTTTGACAGCGACGTTGAGCTTCAACGCGACGAGGGGATGACTCCGGGAAATAGTGCCCGTCAAATAACCACTACCGGCTCAGCCTTAAGTCACTACCCGATGGGAACTCCCGGCGGTGGTGTTGGTGGTGGTGGACCAAATCGAGCCATTGTCGACGTCGAGTGCTACACTCGAGGGCCCACCACTTCTGTGATTGGAGTTTGTCGAAGTGGTGGCGGAGTTGGTGGATACAGTCTAGAACCGATGTTGATGACGCCCCTCAACGGTGGACTTCTCGATAACGGAGGAGGGGGAAGTGGTGGAGGTGGTAGTGGACAATACGGAATGGTGAACAAGGGATCACTGCGAAACTTGGCAATTAGTCAGCAGCAGCAACAACAGCAGCAGATTATTGAAAATGACACTCGGCCACAGTATCTGAACAGTTGAGCCGGGCACGCATTTTTTGTAAAATGTATAGTACAACAGTCCAAACCTTGAAAAGCATATTTAATTTGTTTTTGTTTTGTTTTGTTACCTTTTTGAAGCCACACCACAGCTACACTCACAACTACACAACAACACATGTCTAGACACTTGAATTTGACGTTTAAAAAAACGGGAGCTAAAAACGGATTGCTATTCTTGACAACAACAAAATGTATTTAAAGCAGTAATTTCTAATTTTAAAACTTCACACACACATGCGCAAAAAACTCAAATACATTTGCTTGATAAACACACAATATTGCTTTTACTCAATTTTGGGAACTTTTACTAGACAAACCCCTAACAAAATACTTTTACTTTTACTTTAATTTTTAAATGGCAATTCTCGCACAAACACCCATTCATTTACTAACACAACAAAGAATCACACACGCCCACTACCACAATGCTTACGCACCTACTACACAACGCCAAATCTTTCAGTGAGATTTTTGATGATCTATTGCTTTTTCTCTTTTCTCTTCATTCACCTCTTCTCTTTTTCTCAGCCCTACATTGTTGATAATGATAATGACCTGTACAGTCTTGAATTTATTCATTTTTTTCAATGTTATATTAATTAATTTAACAAATTAAAAAAATTATTAATAAATATCTTTTTTTAATTTTTTTTATATTGGCTCTTCTTTCTCACAAAAGTTTTTTTGTATGTGTGTTTGTCTGTTTAATTGAGTTTGGCTGCACACCGGTCATCATCTTCAGATCTTCATGAAAGATGGCCCTACAAATTTAGCTTCACATTTGAACTGTGGTTTTAAAATAAAAAACACAAATGATGAATTAATAAACAAACACAGTAACAAGGGCAAAGAACTTACAGCATGTGAAAGCATTCTCTGCTTCTTGCGACTCGACGCTGGGATCACGCTTTTTCGGAGCCAGCTTGAAAGTGCCGTACTCGGTCGTCGGAGTACCTTCGTCGCAGACGTCGAAAACGGTAGCCACTTTATTTGAGTTTAACTGATCAGAAGGTGGAAACAGTTTGTCTCCTCCGATATTGTCATTTCCAGTGCTGTTAGGAGAGTTGTGGGCGCCGTCCAGTGCAGACATTTCTACTACAATTTTACAAAATCTAGTTGTGGTGAAAGAGATTGGTGTTGATCCATAATTAACATGTGAAAAAAGTAAAAAACCAATAAATAACCAACAAAGATAATGTTGTAAAACGATTTAATGAATGTTTTATTTACCGTTTAGGTTTGATCCAACAGAAAGTAGAGAGAGAGCGAGAAAGAATAAAGTGAAAAAATCAAAACGTTAGTTTTGTGATCCCGTCACACGGTACGTACCCCAAAGTACCTCACCTCTCTTTCACCATCTTCTTTCTCATGTTTCTTCTTTTTAGCTTTTCTTTTTTCTGCTAATGCCAATTGGCAATTTTCATTTGCACTCTCGTGGCACCCACATCACGGTAAAGCTCATCAGGTTTTCTTTTTTTTCGTTTTATCATTTTAAAAAACTAGTTTTTGGCACCAACATTATCTCCTCTATTCTACCTACCTATTCTAATTAGCCAATTCATCTCAACCTATTGGAAAACAACAGTTTATTTTGGCAGAAACCCAGATAGGGAACGCTATGTTAAAAGTTAAAAGGAGGTAACAAAAAACAAGAAATTTTTCAAACTTAAAACTAAAATCTGAAATTTTTTCTGTAGATTCAGCTCGCTAAGATGAACAAAAAGTTAAAAAACGCTAAGGGCGGCCATTTTTTTAAAGGTTCCAAAATGGCGTCTGAAGTTGGCTAAAAATGCATTGAAATGTGTTACGCTGCCGAGAACAGCGCCCCTACCGGCATCTTGCACATTTCTGTTGCTGGCAATGAACGGCACTGTGCTTGCCTGCGTAACACATTTCAATGCATTTTTAGCCAACTTCAGACGCCATTTTGGAACCTTTAAAAAAATGGCCGCCCTTAGCGTTTTTTAACTTTTTGTTCATCTTAGCGAGCTGAATCTACAGAAAAAATTTCAGATTTTAGTTTTAAGTTTGAAAAATTTCTTGTTTTTTGTTACCTCCTTTATTAACATTAGACGCTGCCAAATCAATAATAGCGGAAATGAAATGCAATGCAGTTTTTGACTTGGGCGGTTCACCAGCAGCAGATGAAATGGCGCAAAAGTTAGAACATAGGAACAGATGTCAGAGTGAGTGTGAATCACACTGCTTTACATTGGAATTAGTAATTCTAAACATAAAAATTTTAAACTTTTAGAAAAAGAGAAATTCAATGGTAACAGACGGAAATGATGACATCAAAGTAGGTTTGTTTTGTTAACTAAAATTGAGCTTTAAAATTAACATTATCATTAAGCAGCGGATGACTCAAAAGGTCCTCAAGAGTAATGCGCTTTTTTGGGTTTATAGTAAAAATCCTTTTAAATAATCGGTGCATGTTGGCGATCCAGTTCTGGCTCGGACCAAAAAACGTAATTGCTTTTGGCTGAATATCCTCCACCTTGCCGACTCTCCATTTTGACCACTGTTTGTTGATGTCTTTTTCCGGCAAAATAGTCTCCCCAACTACTTCCCACAGTTTCTTTATTCGCCAGCGCCCAGTTTCAGGCAAAGACGAAGAGTCAGAGATTCTCAGGACTTTTCGGGTGAAGTAAGACTTGCTCCCGCTAGGTAGGTTTTCATAGAAGTCGTCAGGCAGGTCCTTGCCAAAGAGGTTCCATATGGCCGCCAGCTGGCAGTAGACAGGCTGATCTTTGTATTCGCACTGGTAAAGAACTTCCCTCGTCATAGATTCGACCATTGTCACGCCCACTGCCCAGAGATCAGACAGCGTTTTGTCGGCCATGCCCAGCAGCCACTCTGGCGACGCATAGCCGTGTGTGTGAAGAGCTGGTTCAGTTTTGTTCAGGTCAAACACGTCCACTCCGTTGAACTGGATCATTCGTCTGGAGCCGCTGATGCAGCACGAAAAGCCAAAATCAATCAGTTTTATGCGCCAATAGCCGTTGGCCTCTGGCTTCACCATGATATTTTCCGGCTTGATGTCCGCGTGAACATAGAGAATTTTCTGTTGAAATCAAAATATTGATTTTAATAGTAGTGATAATAATGGGAAAGAAGATGGCGGTTTACGAATTACGGTCACTTACCTGAAGCTCTATCAGCGCCCGCAACAGTTGCCTAAACATTGATGTAAATATTGCCTGGGGAACCATGTGATTCAAGAAAAAAGAGCGCAAGGTATAGGGTAGTTGCTCAAAAACAAGGCATTTGTAGATTGGACTGAAATGAAATGAGTCCAGTTGCTTGATGAACAGTCCCGACTAACCAAATGAAAGTAAAAACAAACGGTTTAGAAATGTTAAAATTGTATTATTAGTTTTGAGGTTTATGCTTAGTTTTGACTTACTTTATTATTTTTTATTAAATCTAAAAAAGCCGTTTCTCTCTCAATAGACACCAGCTGATAGGTACTTTCAAACTGCAGCACTTTAATAGCCACCTGGCGAGCCTGGGCCTCTTTCTCATTGCCGTTGACTAGTTTTCTTTGGTTGCACAGGAACACCGTACCATAGCCGCCCTGGCCTTGCTGGCTTTCAATTTCGTAGCTGGCGTTTTTAGAACAAAACTTCTGCTTAAACCAAGCACTGTCTAGCTGTGCTCCCACTTGGAAGCCTTTAAGGCGGCACTGCTCAAACACCTCGAGGTCCTTGTGAGCTTTTCGGACGGGAAACCCCGTCCACTGTTTGTTGATGGCCCCGTTGTACAAGGTAATTCTGGACTCAGCTGCGAAGTGCCAGCTGCGATAAAACCGATGCACCAGGGTGGCCTGGTAGCCGGCCAGAGCCACTATGAACACTGCCGATGGTGCTGATGCTGCTGCTGCTTCTGGTGGACACTTTGCCAGACTTCCGCTGAATTTGCTCAGGAACCGCTGCCATATTTCCTTGTCATACTGTGATTTGATTGCTTTGCCCTTGCAAACTTTGCGCTTTTTAGGACTCGAAATAATTTCCACTTTGAGCGTGTTCACAAAAAAGGTCACTGCCGCCTGATGAGAGTCAAGGTAAAATGTAGGCGAATACTGCTTTGACGTGGCGGCGGCGGCGGCAGTTGTTGATGAGGACGCCTGAGCTGAAATCGAATGCTCTGAAGTAACCATGTCGGTGGTGATGCCCGTCTCCAGCAGCACTCCAATGATAATGCTTTGCTCGCCAATGGGACTACCTTCTGTTTGTACCTGCATGTTGGTGGACAGCTCATGGCCGTTCACTATCAGGTCGCCCGAAGAGGGATTGTAGAAGACGGCGGCAGCAGGGACGGCGGCGGTTG